TTTTCAAAGTATTGCAGGCCTACCCTCTACCAGGGCGAGTGATAGATTTTTTACAGATATTCACAGATATGTCTCTAGCTAGATAGATGGTCATTTAGGGCTCAACTCACCCTGTTGAGAAATCTCAAGGCTGATTACATGTCTGATAATTGTTTGCATAACTGCTCAGGCACTGCCACTTAGCAGGTCCAGTCTAAGTCTGTGTGACAGCAATCAAGACAGTTAATTACTCTGACTTCAATCACTTGCTCTTCTGTGACAGATAAAAAAGCCTTAGACTGGTTGCGTAACGAGCAGTTATCATATCGTTGTGAATCTCAGCTCATGCAGAGCAAGTACAAAGCCTTTGGCGCGCACGCAGAGAAACGAGTAATAGTTTCCACATTGGATTTCTCAACAGTAGAGACTCCTCTTTTATCTGTTTGTAGTAGTTTTTAGGGTTTTATTTACCATCTTTTTTCCAACCCAGGCTCTTATATGATGATGATAATAATATATATATCTGAACATACCCTAGAACTGCCTTTATACAGGGGGTTATATACCTGCATATTGCATGTGCACTCAACTGCTGTTCATGACTTGTTATTTGCTCTAAGTGATATTGTGGTCATTAATACGATAACAAGCAATCCCTCTCCACCTAATAGCAGCAGGAGCCAGCAGGAAGATGTATGATAAAAACATGTTCTCTGTTATCCAGGGATTACTCTGGTCAGAGTTACAATGGAGATTGAAGAACCTGGTCTTACTAATCAGGAATATCTGCTTCTTGTGGTTCTTCTTGATTAGGCTAATGGTGAAGGCCATTATGATCTACTGGTTCGTCTTTTTACTGGAGAACTAATTGTCATGAGCTCTGTGAATTGTAATTAGGCTATTATGATATAATAAAAGTAATACCAATAAGATAATGAGAATAATACCTTAAATAATTGATCTCTAAGGCTCTATTCACAACCAGTAGATCCTTGGACTAGCAGATCTGCGAATCAGATATGGCTGACCCACTTGAAAGCTTGCCACATAATTTCCTAATAGACACTTAATAGATTCCCTGTGGAGCTTTGCAGCAAGCTTTCAAGTGGGTCGGCCATATTTGATCCATGGATCTGTTAATCTGTGGATCAACTTTTGTTGTAAATGTGGCTTAGATGGTACAGAAGGATGTCATGTTTGTCAGCTTTCAAAACAACATTATTTTTACATAAAATGCAAATTTTTTGATAAACTCCAGTTTTTAGTATTGTTAATTAAAAAAATAAAAATAAAAACAAATACTAGTGCTAGTGTAGAGAAGAACCATGTTGGCAGTATAAATCAGCTGGGTCTTGGTGGGTTCAGATAATTGTTCATGAGCTGGAGCCTGTATCATCTCTGTTGTCCTAATTAGTGGATTTTCTCTCTCTTGTGGCTTTTCACAGCCAGGCTACAAATTATAGAGCGCATTTAGAACAACGGACTAACAGATTCGGCTATCAAATGTGGCGACTCACTAAAAAATTTGCACTTTATTCCCAATTAAACACTGAAAATATATTTGTCGAGGGGATTGTGCAACATCCATTCAAGTGGATTGGCCATATTTGATCCACTGATCTGTTAGTCCATTGTTCTCAATGCGCTCTGTATCATCTCTGTTGCCTCAATTAGTGGATTTTCTGTCTCTTGTGGCTTTTCACAGCCAGACTGCAAATTATATCTGAGTGCCTGTTGAAAACCTATTAATCCGCTGTATTGGTGTGTTTTCTACTGGCAAGGGACTTGGTATATATTAGATTAATTATGGGAAAACAGAAGAAGTGAAAATGTCACGATTATCATCATCTATCATTGCATGGATTTATCTAGTATATAGTATCAGAATCTTCTAGAGGTATGGTAATTATACAAGCCCACACAGATAATGGTGACCTGGTAACATATCAACAATTTCTGATACAGTTTTGACTGTTTTTGCTCAAAATCTTGACTGCCCTGAAGTTGGGGATGGTAAGATATTCTGTACCCATTTATATGTATGTCATTTATCTTGCAAGTTTCGTGATAAATAAAAATGGTATTGTATGGTTACAAATTTTTATGGCTACACATTGGTTCAGCTGACAAAAATGGAAAATTATTTTTCAGTAGAAAATCTGTTCACTTGTTTGGTGGCAACAGCTAAATGGGAAATGTAATTGGGTTGTCAACTTCAGTGGCATTTAAGAAATTTGAACACGTGTACTGACATACACATACACATACAAACACACCTGTATGTGGACATATAAACACACCATACAAAATGCACATATGCACACATGAATATACACAAGCACACTTTCCCATTTCAACATGCACATGCAGGTACGCATTCATACAATGTATGCACACGCCCATGCCTACTGCAATACAGAGGCCAGGCCCGTAGCCAGGGGGGGTTCAGGGGGTTCAAAAGAACCACCCTTTTTGCTGAAAAAAGGTCCACTCTGGGTAAAATTTGACCTAGGTACATGGGGATTATATGGAAAAAGGTCCACTTTTTCAGAAAAAGAACCCCCCTTTTGAAATTGCTGGCTACGGGCCTGGAGGCACACGCACACGTAGGCTATAGTTTTCTCACAGTGGATATTTCACTTACTACTAATAAGTGCTTTACTAGATAACCCACTGCAAATGAAACTGCTTAGAGCTAGAAATGACTTATAGTGATACTGAATGTCATGACAGTGAGAGCAAAAGGTCTAGAGAAGATAAGGCTCTCCCTCTGGTATGGTTTTTAAATGCAAACTTACAGTAGATTGATTAAAAAAAATACGGTAGTAAAGCGCGTTGGGGATGATTATTTTCGTAAAAAATTGCAGTAAGATAGAAAAAAAAAATCTGTCGAACCCCAGGTGGTTACTTGCATGTTACTGGAGAACAGAAGCATGCTAGTTTTGTCATCCATTAGTAATTGATACAAATAGAAGAATGTTGTAATCATCCTGAAAAAAAACCCTCATCCTACCTTTCTCCATTGTTGATATATAACTAATGCTGGAAAGCCATTAGATTGTTGTTGATTTGTATGTATAGAATTGAAAGCTATCTAAGACATAGTAGAGAAAGTGCGTGAGAAGGAAGAAAATGAGCTATTTGGATAATGCAACTTGTGGATGTTAATTTTCAATGCAGGAGATAATAACTTCCTGGTAAATTGAGGTTTGTTTTTTTGGGGAGCGTCTCGATAGTCCGAAGGTTCATTGGTCCGAAAAATGTTAACTTTTTCATCAGTTTTTTTAATCAAGGGTTCATTGTGTTCTGTAGTGAACATCTGGATCAATGAACCTTCCGACTATTGCTAGGGCCCCAGTTTTTTTCAGTGTTTCAAGGTGTCATTTTTAAGGGCAGGTTTTTATGTAGTAGTTAGGAGTTGTCAACGTCGTCCCTCCACTCTGCATTTCAGGTAGAGACATTACAGCAGACCTTCAGTAGCCTCCATATATACATATCTTTACAACAGAAATTTTGTTTGATATACTGTATTTGTAAAGATTGAAGTTGAGCAATTAGCAAAAACTTTCAGTTAAAGTCAAATAGTATAACCCTTGCCACAAAATATATAAAGATAAATTAGTTATGGCATTCTTTAAGTAAACTTTAACAAAAACAAAACATCAGTACCAGCCATAAGATTTAATCAAACTTTCTCTCCAATTGAGTTTACAGCCAACCTAGAGTCTTAAGCCTGCAGTGAGCCTCACTTTTGTTTGCATATTGGTTTGAAAAAAATCTACTAATGTGATTTCTGATAATCCTCCCGAGTCCTTCAAGTGTATTGATTGCCCATTTGGTCTGTGGAGAACCCTGCTCTTGGCGGACCTCTTGGCAGCCGTGAACCGCCCCACCTCAGTATCAAACCTCCCGTCACAGGAGAATATCTTTGGATGAGAAATGGACAACCCCACACCTCTGTAAATGGTTACCAGATCGATTATCTGTAAACAAATTTATCGAACAATTAAATTACTAGTACTGAGATAATTTGGTAAAGGGATGTTTATACAACAGCAGTGCCCAGGAGGCATTTTAAAATTTTCACCTGAACTGGGCAAACGCTAGGAAACTCAGTGATTTCAATTTTTTGTGGGGGTGGGATCTTTTTCTGAAAAAATTAGGACAATGTTTACCAAGAAATGGCATAGAACATGGATCAAATTTTGATTCATAGTGGACATACATCTTGCCAATAGGGCAGTTCTTTCAGCGGACCTTGTTTCACATGTCTGTCGGTCTGAGAACAGGTCTGTCAATTAATTCAACTGCTGAGATTTTTTGCCCCAAAAATCTTAACACCCATACGTACTAGCCACCTTGGAATCATCACCTGAACCGGTCCCAGTATTAATCCTGTCTGAACGCGCCCATGATTGTTTGTACCATTATCTAGTGCGACACTCAGGTGCAGCCTGCGGCATAAGTACATCATAAGTGTGTTATCATGTCCTTGAGGTGCCTTCAAAAGATACTAAAAGGTTTCTCTGCAATTTTGTGCTCAGTTACTAACTCGGGGGGAGGGGGTCTCCTTTGATGGTTTTGAATGAAGATGGTGTTTAAAAAAAGTAGACGATTTTGAAATTTGAAAATCAGCGCAGCTTTATATAACATGCAAACTGTAATTTACTGCTACATGTATATATAGGGCAGTGTGTGACTGTGTACATGAGGGTTTTTTTCCAGGGGCTGATTTTTCTGTATCGAACCCTGGAGATTAGATTGTACTGAAATGGTCTGTTGTGAGAAAATGAACGGGGCTCGCTATACTCCACTTCAGTGTGTGCTTGTCAGGTGAAATTGTCATTTGCAGTTGTTTCAAGTAGTCTACCTGTTGATGAGTGAGGAATAAGGTGCATTGTAGGATATGGGGATTTCAGCTCAAAGCTTTCATTCCAGGTGCTATGAAAAATATTATTTTTTTTCTTTGACAGACAATGAACATTTGATTAAAATTCAATTTTTTTCCTGGTTCATTTCAGCTGAGGAAAATGTGATCTCAACGCAGCCAGCAACACTTGAAACATTCCCATTAGCTGTCAGTCCATGTAGAGGGGCACCAAACGCAGCAAAGCGTAGCCAATCACAGCAGCCGTTATGGCCTTAAAACCTGTGTTAAAGTTAAAAATTGATGAGCTGTTTTTGCGGTGGCTGAGTGAGACAGACACGCAGCAGTTACTGAGGGAGAACCTGAGGCAGATTGTGAAAGGGGAACCAATCACGTCATGGCCCCCAGGAACGGGAAACATCAAAAGTTCACGACCTGCATCGCCAAGGTAACTGAGGAAAGGGGAGGGGTCAAACACAATGGATGGAATTAAAGACATTTCTGTTGCTTTAATGATAATGTTTTACAGATATTTTTAAGTAAATGATTAAAGATCTTTTCTTGGTAAAAATTAACAAAGTCCATAGAAAATTTTTGAAAAGTTGTTAAGTTAACTGAAAATCAATTTTTGAAGCAAGTGTTTAATTCCAACATTCATATCCTTAAATAAAAGTGTGCATAAAATAACAAAAAAAAAAAAATTGTAATTCTAACATCCCTTTTCTTGCAGAATTCGTCCATCCTCTCCGTCCACCCCGCCCTGTTCCCCGCCCCCAGGGAAATCATCCCCCAGTCCCAGGAGTCCCAGGAAAGCGTACAACTTCAGCAGCAAGATCAACGCCAGGACGGCACAACTGCAGAACTCCAAGGTAACAGGTGCTTGTATGGTGCTACTGGGCTCACTACAGGTTATTAGATTTTTATCGATTTTATGATCGCTGGATTTTTTTTTTTTTCATTTCTTGGGTTTGAAAAGTCAATAAAATGTGCAACAGGTGCAAAAAGTTGGAAGAAATTTAAGATATAAAGAGATTATTTGGGCCTCAATGGTTGATGGAGGAAGTGCCTATGCATATATATTGATGAAGTTACAGGACTTCATGGCTGCACGGTCTTCTCATCACAAACTTGATAACATTGATGGAAATCTAATAATCATAGAGTGAGCGTAGTGTTTTGTTTGATGTTGTAGCAATAGTTGTTTGTGCTGTATGCATTTCTGATAACATTAAACAAAATTTTCTTACAGGTGTCAGTCGTGAAAAAAAAAAACAGTAAAAAAAAGAAAACAATACAAAATAAAATATTTTTTTTTATATGAAGATAATTTGTCTCCATTACACAAAGCAACTAGTCCTGAATAAAATAACCAAAAAATAATATCATATTCCATTTCTCGCTAGAACACGACTGAAATGAATAACATTCTAAAGTTATCGTCAGACTACAGCAATTATTTTCCAATTTTGTGGCCTTTACATCTAGACAGAATTAACTTTGTCTACCAAGAGAAATGATTTCAGAATACAATAACCACTTGCTAAACTATTTATAGAGAAATGAACTAAAGAACACAATTGCCTACATACAGTAGGAATATAATGGGCAAAACAACGTGAATACTATTCATTGATCGTGAACAAGAAGAGCTCAACCGCAGCAGATCTAGACTAATGGATCTCTGATGACAACAGTCCTAAAAACCAGAACATTTTTCAGCACCTGAAAGTAAAATCATCTTGGAATTGAAGCCAGAAATGTTCTGCCAAGAAGTGGATTTTGACTTTCATTAGGTTCTACTGAAAATGAAAGTGTGTGGAGTTAAAAAGAAATATGGTAGATGGATTAAAAGATGTCTTTAAACTCTCTTTCTCCTCTTGCTTGGAACAGTCACCAATAAGAAACAACCCAATGCTTCAACTTCGGGATGACTAAAGCAGATCATTACATCAGGCAGCAGCAATTGCATACACTTTATCCACTGAAAAACTCATATTAAAAAGTGTTATTCAAAACATGAGTAATGGAAGAATGCAAAATGTGAGATACATATGTTACCAACAAAATAAACTTGGCCTTTTAATTTGTTTAAAAAAAAAGTGGATTTAGATTAAGTGTCAGTTATACTTACACATCACTCATTAAAAATGAGCATTTCCAGACTGAATTTCTGCTTCATTTCTATCAAGAACAAGAATGATACACGTGTTGAGGGGTGTCCTTTGTCAACCCACAAAAAAGGCTCTCAAAAATGGACATCTGTAAGACAAAAGGGATCATTTTATAAAAATAATCATGTTTCATCAAATATTATACTAATGGAAACACAGTCAGTCTGATTTCTCTATAATATCCATGCTGCATAGCAACAGGGATTTCAAAGTGATTACAAAGATTCCTGATGACTTGCGCAGTTTTCATTCCAACAGAAGAGAGCATACATTATAACACTTGGCCATTGAATGTGTGTTTCACACATCCCATTCCTCCAAATGAGCAGGGGATGAGATTTTTTCGACTATTGTCGGGTTTCTGACTTTTTGGGAGCCAACAATATCACTGATCTTGGCTTTCCCCTCCACTCCATGCCATAATTTCGACTTTTTCACTAAAAGGCGGTCTGGTCAATATACAAGCTTAGGATGACACAGTTTTTCACTTGCCGGAGAAACACACTGGAACTGTTTGTAAACATCTGGCCCATTGTATTGATGAAATATATACCAGCTGACTGCGAATTTAGCAAGAACATATATAGATTATAGGGAATTCTTTTAGTGAAATACCATAAAGCATTCACTGAGGAATCTAGAATATATAGAATTATGGACAGCCATTGTGGAATAAATTGAATAAAGTTATAAAGCAGCCAACAAGGGACCATGCAAGGTTGTAGATTAGGAGCTAATGAAATAACACACAGGACATGAGTGGGCAATGGTGGTCATCTGAGTGGTCAAGAGACTCACCAGTCACTTTTCTGTATTCACTACCAGAAATTGATGAAAGAGAAAATAAAAAATCACATAAATCATAGTTACATGTAAATACTTTTAAAACATTCACAAGAAGATATAGTACTTAAATTTTCTTGTGCCATTTTGATTTTTGTTTTCCCTCTGAATAAAATTATATTGTCTCTACAACATCTTTGTTGGGCCAATTTGAATGGACTGATGGATAAAATAAAGTCTGTCTAAAATATTGGTAATATTTTACCCTATTTTTTGGCAAACAGTTTCTCTTTTTGCCATCCTGTTTATCTTATATACTTTTCCATTAATTTATTATTATGATTTTCAAAGGGGGGGGGGGAGGGGTATATGAGATTGTAGCCACACAGACTCACACACCAGCTCTATGTGGTCAGTGGAGTTACATTTCCAGAGCATTCATCTCCACATATTTCCACACATTAGCCTTTGACTATTGATTCTCTGTGCTTCCAGATATTAGTCTCTTGCTACCAGTGTAATAATAAATAATGGGTTCGTGTATATGGATATTATCATAGCCTGTGCCAAAAACTTCCTAGGTTATGAGCACTTTGGACAATCAAAGTTGTCAAGTAGAGTACTGTTATATGTAATTTAAACTTTTTTTCTAGCCTGGGGCCTCTATATGTGGGCAATTGCCTCTGGCTAGCATTTACTTTCACACACTGCTATTAGAACCCCCCCCACCCCCTCAGTAGAAGTAATATAGAAATGAAGGGCTCATTCTCAATGAAAATATTATTTTACGTAGATCGATCCCCTTGTTTTCAACATAATCATAAAATCACCAGTTTTTCTGTAGTCTACTCAAGGCCATGTATCACCAGATACTAAGTTAATATTTTTTATCTTCAAATGAGTACTGAAGATTTCTCAAGTTCCATATCAAAAATGGAGTATTTTTATTTATTCAGAGCAAGAAAAGGGGGTAAAAACCCAGTTCATTTATTTCTTATTCTTTATTGACAGCACCAGGTATCATTGACAGAGATTGCATTGTCTGTTGGGTGACACGAACATCTATAGTGTGCTAGTTGAGATGAATGATCAGTTTTCTCAACTAACACAATGATTGTCTCAACCATCACAGTTGTTGTATTTACAATCTGCTGAAATGTAATTGATCACTAAAGAAGTTTTCAACTTACACTAGTTGATCCAGAATCCTCTGCAGGCCCGTAGCCAGCAATTTCAAATGGGGGGGTTCGTTTTCTGAAAAAGTGGACCTTTTACAATAAAACCTGCATGTACCTAGATCAAATTTTATCCAAAGTGGACCTTTTCCCAGCAAAAAGGGCAGTTTTTTTAACCCCCCTGGCTACTGGCCTGCTCTGTCATCCTCCACCTTAGCAAAAAAAAAAAAAAAAAAAAAGAAAAAAAAATTTACATGCAATCAGAAATCTGTATCACACCATCTTGAATCAAGATCATAACCAGAAATTTGAAGTTTCAGTTTTAAAGCTTTGTTTTGGCTGACCCTTGGATGAATTTGGTTTATATTTTGGCATGTCGATTTTATTTGAGTCAGTTGTATGAGAAACTTGTAGAAGTCAGTTATTGAATTCCATTGTAAACCTTAAAGTTCTATCAGTGATGCCCCCCCCCCCCCTTTCAAAAAGAAAAATGGTGTGCCTTTACTTATTTTCATCGTTTTCCTGGGTGAACTGAATTTGATTTGTTGCTTTTAGACTTAAAACTGTGCAATATTAACAGCTTTGTAAATTGTTTTCATTTTTTCCATGGTTAACTGCAGGTTTTACTGAACAAATGTCATTTATTCCAATTAAACGGGGAGGTGGTTGGAATGCTGGAGGCAAGGATCAGATTCCAGATGGGATTTTGTTTTCCTTTTTTTTTATATAGCCTTTTAGGATACAGGATATAATGAGTAAGCTAGAAATCTGTTTGGCTCTTGATATTTGAAAAAAGAAAATTGAAAATAGCCATTTCATATTTGTTTTCCCAAAAATCTCTATTGTCGATATGGCTAAACTGTGCATCAGTCTCAAAAGCTTATATCCTTTAAATATAATTGAATTAATGAAGGCTCAAAAATTATTTGAAGTCTAAGAGAAGAAAGTGATCTGCAAGAAATGCATGCAGTTATTTATGCTCATAAAGTCAAAAGAAGAAAAGTGAACTTCAAAATAAACATGTTTAGGATATTTTTGAATTCTGAGCTGGCTAGAGTGAAGGTCTGGGTCCAGTGGAAGGAGCAGTAGAAAAATTGTTGAAGCATCACATATTTTCTCTATTTGTATTTTTTTCACCAGAACATCATACTGTTGGCTGCTCCTGATATGTTTGTTAGTTTTTACTTTTGCTTCATAGTTTGTCTAGGCCCAGTAGATTGTACTGAGAGTAGAATAAATTCATTTGCGTTCATTTTGTAATGTTAAATTTAATCATTGTATCATATTATGTAGAGAATGCAATTATGTTCAAGTAATATGTTAGTAGATGAGACACCCTTCTACAACTTCATTATTGTAGGTGATAGAAAATTTAAAATTTAATTTTTTTGGAACCTTCCCTGAGTTTCCCTGGCTTGTCCTCATTGACCTATATCCCCAGGCTTTGTAAAGTAAGACAAACAGATTCTTGTCAACCAATGATAAATGGTTTCATAGTACAACTAGAAATTAAATAAAGTTTGTGGCAGCCATGGTTTGTTTCACACACATTTATTGAACAGTGAAGGGAAAAGTTTCTTTTTTCTTTTTTTTTTTTTTGAAAGATAACTAAGGGGTGAATATTACACATTAATATCAGTTTAAAGACAGATTCAAGAACAAAACAGATTTGGAGATAAGCTAAACAGCTGATTGATGAAGACAATTTTTACAGGAGATCACATCCCCCACCCTCTTGGA